GTAAGTATATTAAATTTAAATAAGTCAGGAATGTAACCATTACTATAAGATTCTTAGACAATATTTGGTGTGAGTACCATAATGATGAGACATATCCTAAGACTATGTAGTTGCTTAAGGAAATGCTATTTCATAAAGATGACTTATGTTTGAGAAGATGCTTGTCACTGTGGAAGTGCTAGTCAGTTGCTGTGTTGCAGTTTAACCCTCAGCTACATGCTTTTTTCTATTTTTAATTACAGGCTAAAGTTCTACGGTTACTAGCCACCACTTATTTGGATTGGGATAACAAAGAATATTATGATAAGGCTCTCAGTGCCATAAACCTAGCAAACAAGGTATAAGAAGTTTTTACTTTTGAATACTAACTTAATGAATTTTTTAAAGTTTCGAATCACATTTTGAAATTCAGTTTAGCCATTTGCTTCAGTATTGATTCTTTTTAAAACAAAAGATTGTTCTAATCTATTCTGTAGCACAGAAAAGAAAAATAAAATATTGGTATGCTCTGAATGTTTGTGTCCCCCCCTCCAATTCATATGTTGAAATGTTAACCCCCAAAATGATGGTATTAGGGGATGAGGACTTTGAGACATGATTAAGTCATGGGGCAAACCCCTCTTGAATGGCATTAGTGCTCTTATAAAAGAGGCCCAAGAGAGCTTGTTTACCCTTTCCATCATGTGAGGACACAAGAAGGCACCATCTGTGAAGAATAGGCCCTCACCAGAGACCAAATTTGCTAGCACATTTATCTTGGAGTTCTCAGCCTTCAGAACTGTGAGAAATAAATTTCTGTTATTGGCTACCTAGTTTATGGTGTTTTGTGATGGCAACCTGAATGGACTAAAACAAAAATGCTTCTTGAACACCATAGATTTTTGAGAAACAGAAAGGGATCTCTCTACTGTGAGTTTTTAGGATGAAGAAGTAAATGATGGTAAAATAGGCAGATAATGGGATTTAGTTTTAAAAATAACTTCAGTGGTTCACTTTCAGCTCATGCTCATATGTACATAAAAACATGCATAAAAAGCTGGGCACGGTGGCGCATGCCTGCAGTCCCAGTTACTTGGGAGGCTTAGGTGGAAGGTTAATTGAGGCCAGGAGTTCGAGGCTGCAGTGTGCTATGATCATACCTATGAATAGCCACTGCACTCCAGCCTGGACAACACAGCAAGACCCCCATCTCTAAACAAAACAAAACAAAATAAAACATGACAAGACAAAATAAAACATGTATACACTTACACTTTTGGACAAGGAACACTGATAGGCTGATGACCCTTTAAAAAGATATTCAGTTAGGATTGATGTGGTTTACTAAATAAGGCCATTAAATATACTGATACATTTAGAAATTTTTTTCAATAGAATGGAAGCATGAAAATGAATATTTCAATTAACCAGAATATTAAATTCCTCAAACAGAGCATTTAACTGAACTATATTTTCTTGAAATTTATGCCATGTAGATGGGATTATTTAATGCTGAAAAACTTCTTTAACATTGAAATTTTTTAAAAATTTAAAAATATTAATAAATAGGAACATTTTCAAAAGCTACATTCTTTTATTTTTTTTTTTATTTGCTAAGATGCAAGTCCGAATTAAAAATAGGGACCAAGACATCACAGGAAGTAGATAAGGCTTCTTGCCAGCATCTCTCTTTGTTTATTGGACACAGAAGTTGCAATTTTATAGCAGTAATTACTCACCTACATTGCTCATGACATAGCACATTTAACAGACTAATGATTGATCCTGACATAGCTGAAATGGGTGCATTAAGATTTCAATGACAATATACACTTTTAAAAGTTTTATTTGAAAATAATTTCAAACTTACAGAAAAGTTGCAAGAATAAGAATAATTCTAAGCACACCTGTATATACTTTAGCTAGATTCATACTTGTTAACATTTTGCACACTTGCATGCACACTTTCTCCTCACTCCCTTTTTTCTTTCTCCCCTCTCTCCCCTCCTCCCTCCTTTCCTCCCCCCATATATATCCCTTCAGTAATGAACTCTCATTTTTTTTTCCTTTGATAAAGGATTAGTCTAGGATCAGCTATTGAATTTATCTGTCATGTCTCTATAGCCTCCTGTAATCTGGAACATTTCCACAGCCTTTCTTTGACTTTGTGTCATTGATATTTGGGAAAAATACAGTATGCCCCCATTTTGTTTTAAGTAACATTTTGTTTTAAGTAAAAGTTCTTCATTTGCGGTTTATGTGATGTTTCCTCATGATTAAATTCAAGTTATGCATTCTTGGCTGGAATGCTACATAAACGATGCTGTGTCCCTTCTCAGGGCATCACATTAGGGAACACACGATGTCTATCTGCTCCTCTTTGTTGATGTTAATATTGATCACCTAGTCAAAGGTGTTGTTTGATTTCTTCACTGCATACTTAATATTTTTTCTTTTGCAACTAATAAACAATTGGAAGACCTACAAATCATGCATGTGTCTTGGTTTTCATTAAAATTTCCCTTTAGAGTTGGCATTCTTGTCTGAACCAATCTTTATTATGATGGTAGCCAAATGATCATTTTCCAACCTCAGCACTCCCACCACATTACACTCAGCATTCTATAAGCAAGAGTTCTCCCTTCTTCTCCCATTTATTTAATATGTATTTATTTACTTATTCATTTATTTTCAGTTTGAATTTGTGTCTTCCTACTTTTTCACTGATTTATAATCCATTACTGTCCTTAATTTTCTTTTAATAGTTTTATTGAGATAGCTGACATACAATAAACTACATATTTAAAGTGTAAAATTTGATGAGTTTCGATTTATATGTATACCTGTGAAACAATCACCACAATCAAGATAATGAATATATATTTTAATACATCACACCCAAAACTTTCCTCAAGCCCTTTTGTCACCTCTCCCTCCCACTCTTCCCCAAGCAACCACTGATCTGTTTTTCGTCGCCATAGATTAGCTTGCATTTTGTAGAGTTTTATACAAATGGAATCACAGAGAATGTTATCTTTTTTTTATGGCTTTTTCACTCAGCATAATTATTTCATGATTCATTCATATTGTTGTGTATATCCATAGTTTATTTCTTTATTGCTGAGTAGTATCCAATTGTGTGGATATACCACATTTGCTCTTAAATCTACTGTCTTTTATTAATATAGCTACTTCAGCTTTCTTTTTATTAGCGTTAGCATGTTAGCATGGTATATTTTGTTCCCATACTTTTATGTATTTATGTCTTTTCATTTAAAGTGCATACCCTTTGAGCTGCGTATATGTAGTTGGGTCTTGATTTTTTATTCAATCTAACAATTTCTGCCTCTTAATAGAGGTGTTTAGAATATTTACATTTAATGTGATTACTGACATAGTTAAGTTTGAGTCTGTCTTGTTATGTTTTTTCCTTTATCTCATCTGTTCTTTATCCCTCCTTTCCTCTTTTTCTGCCTTCTTTTCAATTACTTTTTAAGATTCTATTTTATTTTTTTGTTGGTTTATAATTCCTTGTTTTGTTATTTTAGTGGTTTCTTTAGGGCTATGGTCTCCCCAACCCCCAGGCTGCAGAGCTCTTCCCCCCCGCAATTACCTTCCATGAAACTTAGGAAGGGGGTTTGTGGGGGTGGTGTGCATAGCAGGAGGTGATCAACCGGTGAGTGAGCGAAGGAAGCTTCATCTGTCCCCTATCCTGCCTTTATAGAAAAACTGTCTTCCATGAAACATGTCCCTGGTGCCAGAATGGTTGGGGACTACTGCTTCAGCGTTTATACTATAGATCTTATCTTGACCTACCTTTATATGCCTTAATAATATACTTCCATTTCTTTTTAAAATATTTCGAAATTGACAGATAAAATTGTATGTTTTTACTGTGTGCAACATATTGTTTTGAAGTATATATACCTTGTGGGATGACTAAATCTACCTAATTAACATATGTGTTACCTCGTGTAGTTATCGTTTTTGTGGTGAGAACACTTCACATCCACTCTCAACATTTTTTCAAGATTACAATATGTTATCTATAGTCACCATGTTGTACAATAGATCTTTTGACCTTATTCCTTCTATCTAAAGTACACTTCCATTTCTCCCAGCCTGATCTTTATGCTATTGCTGTTATGCATTTTACTTTTATATATGTTACAAAACCTGCAATACTATCTTATTATTTTGTTTAGATAGTCAGTTTTCTTTCTTTTTTTTTTTTTTTGAGGCAGAGTCTCACTGTGTTGCCCCGGCTAGAGTGCCGTGGCGTCATCCTAGCTCACAGCCACCTCAAACTCCTGGGCTCAAGCAATCCTTCTGCCTCAGCCTCCCGAGTAGCTGGGACTACAGACATGCGCCACCATGCCCGGCTAATTTTTTCTATGTATTTTTAGCTGTCTGATTAATTTCTTTCTATTTTTAGTAGAGACGGGGTCTCGCTCTTGCTCAGGCTGGTTTCGAACTCCTGAGCTCAAACAATCCGCCCGCTTCGGCCTCCCAGAGAGCTAGGATTACAGGCGTGAGCCTGTATTGTATTTACTACAAATAAAGCTGCTATGAATATTTGTTTACAGGTTTTTGTATGGACATAAGGTTTCATTTCCTTGGGATAAATGCCCAGGTGTGCAATTGTTGGGCTGTTTAGTTATTAAGAAACTGCAAAACTATTTTCCAGAGAGGCTGTACCATTTTGCATTCCCAAAAACAATGTACGAGACTTCCATTTTCTCTGCATTCTTGCTAGAAGTTGGTATTGTCACCATTTAAAAAAATTTTGCTGTTTTAATAGGTATGTAATAATATTTCATTGTGGTTTTGATTCATACTTTCCTAATAGCTAATGATATTGAACACCTTTTCATGTGGTCATTGCTAATTCTATATCATCTTTGGTGAAATGTCTCTTCATATCTCTTGTCCATTTTATAATTGTTCAACTTTTTACTGTTGAGTTTGAGAGTTCTTTATATATTATAGCTATGAGTTCTTTATCACATATGTGGTTTGCAAATATTTTCTCCAAGTCTGCAGCCTGTCTTTTCATTCTCTTAACAGGGTCTTTTGATGAAGTCCAGTTCATTGATTTTCCCCCCATTTTTTCATCATCCTTTTGGTAACATGTCTAAGAAGTCTTCACCAAGATCTAGATCCTAAAGATAATTTCCTACTATGTTTTAAAAGTTTTATATTTAGATCTATGATCCTTTTGAGTTAATTTTTGTGTAAGATGAGAGGTTTAAGCTGAGGTTTACTTTTTTGCCTATTTATGACTCTCTAGTTGCTCCAGCACCATTTGTTAAAATGACTATTCTTTCATCATTGAATTGCTTTTGCATCTTTGTCAAAA